AGCCTTCAAGGAAGCTGGTGATAGACCTCAATTCAAGTACAACACTCGGAAACTGAAGGATGAAACTACAAAGGAGATCTTCAAGGCAGCCATCAAGACAAAATGGGAGACATCGAACAACATCCCTGAAGAAACCTGTGTGGAAGAACACTGGAAGTCTTTGAAAGAGATGTGGAAAGAAACCTGCACAACAGTATTAGGAAGGAAGAAGAAAGAGGATAAGTAATGGATCTCGACGGATACCTGGAAGCTGATAGAGCAGGGAGAGGAGGATGGTAAAACAGAAGATAAACCAGTGCATGGATGCTCAACGACAAGAGGAACTTAACACAATCTATAAAACACTTAACAAAGAAGTAAAGAAGAGTGCGAGGAAAGACAAAAGACACTTCTACGAAACACTGGCAAGTGAAGCAGAACAGGCTGCTGGTAGGAGAGACCTAACGACATTGTACCAAATAACCAGGTTACTATCTACCAGGGAAGAGATCAACACAGATGAAACCAATAAAAGATGACGACGGAAATTTAATTACGAAAGAAGAGAAACAAAGGAAACAATGGGCTGACCACTTCAAAAAGCTCTTGAATCGACCACCATCACCACCACCCCCTGCACTTCGTCCAGAAATACCACGTACAGCCGCTGAACTACAAGTGAACATAAATCCTCCGACAGAAATGGAAGTCCTGAAAGCCATAAAGCTACTGAAATGCGGGAAAGCAGCAGGACCAGATGGAATCCCACCAGAAGCACTGAGAACAGACTCAGAGACAACAGCAGACATGCTCACACCTCACCACTATTGCAGGAGGTGTGGAAGGAAGAGAAGATACCTGCCAATTGATTGGAAGAATGGTTACCTTGTCAAACTGCCGAAGAAGGGAGACCTCAGTGTTTGCAAGAACTGGCACGGAATCACTCTCCTGTCCACCCAGTGCAAGCAAAATATTAGGCCGCATCATCCTGGAGAGGCTAAAGGATGCACTGGGTTCAAAACTACGACGGGAACAGGCAGGCTTCTGGAAGTACAAATCATGTGCAGACCAAATTGCAACGCCGCTCTACGCATCATCATAGAACAGAGCATAGAATGGCAATCAGCTCTCTACCTCAACTTCATCGACTTTGAGAAGGCCTTTGACAGCGTCGACCGAGAAGTAATTTGGAAACTGCTTCACTACTACGGAGTACCGCAAACCTTTATCCATCTCATTCAACAACTATATGAAGATGCCACATGCCAATTAATTCACAATGGGAAGCTCAGTGATGCTTTTGAAGTGAAGATAGGAGTGAAACAAGGTTGCCTACTATCCCCCATGATATTCCTGATTGTGGTCGACTGGATCATGCAGCAAACAGTGGGGAGTTGTGAGAAGAGGAGGATACGCTGGCTGGACTGCGGAAAAGAACCTAGAAGACTTGGATTTCGCCGATGACTTGTGTCTGACGTCACATAAGCTTGAAGATCTACAGGCAAAAACTAACAAGTTGACCAAAGAGGGGAGGCAGCGAAGACGGGACTTCAAGTGAATATAGAGAAGACAGAGGTGATGAAGATACCGCACCACCAACAACAACAAACTCCAATCACCATCAATGGGAGAAACTTAAAGGAAGTAACCTCCTTCACCTATCTAGGAAGCACTGTTTCAATTACAGATAGTACAGACGAGGATGTCAAAGTCAGAATCGGAAAAGCAAGACAGGCGTTCATTAGCCTGAAACCAGTGTGGAGATCTTCTGCACTCAGCATGTGGAACAAGATCCGGACTTTCAACACCAACGTCAAGTCAGTGCTTCTATTTGATGGTTGAGAGACTTGGCGCGTCACGAAAGGGATTTCCAATAAACTACAGACATTCATCAACAACTGCTTACGCTCGCTACTGAAGATCAGATGGATTGTCAGAAAGAATAAGCAACAAGGAGCTCTGGGAACAAACCAACCAAGAAGCTATCACCCAACAAATATGCAGGAGGAAGTGGAGATGGATTGGCCATGCACTGAGAAGGCCAACTGAGGACATCACGCGTCAGGCCCTCGAGTGGTTTCCCCATAGGAAGCGACGAGTTGGACGTCTGAGGAGAGGGTGACATGGAGAAGGTCGTGCGAGAAGGAAATGAGAGCTTGTGGGCTGTCGTGGAACCAGGTTCAAAAGATCTCAGAGAACAGAGGTCACTGGAGACGTGCTACTGAAGCCCTATGTTCCACTAGGAACCTAAGGGAATAATAATAATAAATAATAATAAGTCTGTGGTTACATTGGAAAATGGCCTTCAGAATTCGGTCAGCACTCAGGGTTAAACAACATGAGACTGGTTGCTCTACTGTGACCAACTGATGTATCCAAACTCTAGTATTGAACTGTAGCATAGAAAACTAGTTAGAAGTGTAGTGGTCTTTGGAATGAAGCACGTTGAATCTTAAGCAAAATGTAAGGATTATTTACCAGAAAGAGGTAATCAATATTATCTTCAGTGCTAGGAAGTGTCTGAAAATCGTTAATCCCTGAAAAGGTATAAAAAGAATGTCCACTAGTTACATAAAAAAACTTTACAGTTGATTCTAGGAAATATCATTTCTTTATTATTGAACAGCTAGAAGAACTTAATTCCATCGCAGTTGGTTATGCATTTTTTTACTCGTACTAAAGTTTTTGCTTTCATAGGATGAACAAGAGTCATGGAAACAATCAGAAAGGATATAAAATCAGAGTTAATTAAAGTGCTGCAACCAACACAATCACTAATGATAGACATATGTCAGCTTCAAAGTTTTCTGTTTTCTATTCACCCTTGGAAGCAATCGCTGTGGTAGTTGAAGGTAGAATCAAATAAGCTTGAATACAGAGTTGATATATAATTTGATTGAACTTTCTTGCAATGTAGCAGAATCCTAAGAGATGATAATGTTTTCTCCTGCATATTCACACCAGACACCAGTGACAAGCGGTCTACCTATCATGCAGTAACCCACCTCCCTAACCCTAATCAATTTACAGTAAAAACCATACTAATCGTCACGGAAACTGTGGAAAAATAGAATGAAAATGAAGCCTCTTGGTTCGTAATACTAGTAGGGTAGACTCTAGTTAGGCTCTTTACTCTTTGATGCTAAAAACCTATTTCAAGATTTGAAGCTGATTTCTTACAAAAGGTGACATCTGTAAGGTAAATAATGAATCATTTTTGAATTAGTATGTTGGTTCATATTATCATTCCATTGGAGTACTTCAGGACGCACAGAAATGAACACTCATGTATACCTGACCAAGAAACACCCACTAACTGAGTGTGACGTAGTGTCGATTGTAGCAGTTTTGTACTATAGAGATGTATACATGATGAGCAAAGAAGAAATGAAGTGAGAAACTAGATAGAGTTTCAACAGTAAACTTTTAGATTTACTAGTCTGCTAATTTCAACGATATGAATTAATAAACCTAATGACTAGTTTGATTACAGCCTTGTTTCCACTGTTAAATCCTATATTTAACTGTTACAATGATAAACGACCTATATCCACCTGGAATTCAGTGTGTCACTTAACCATCCACATCTTTCCGTCCCATATCTTTAGTGATGCATGCATACAGTGAGTTTAGATGTCTGCCTGTATAGAACTGAAGAGATAAGCAATGAATAGCGACATTCTTGCATCACCTAAACACTGTGTACCACAGGGTTGCACCACAGCCTACCGAGCATACTTCAGACTTGTCTGACAAACTTTTGACGGTGTTGAATACAAAAGACTGGACGTCCACAACACTGGTATACACTTCGTACCATTCAGACACTGAAGTGTGATACTTAGCGAAAGATTAGTGGTCTTACATTGGTGAAATGCCTTTTTACAAGTAGTTGTTATATAATAGCCCATTGGAAGATGAAGATTGCAGAGACATGGTTTAGTCAGAAAAAGAAGTCTATGGAAGCATTAAAGCTAGAATAAAGGGGTTCAAAAGGAAATATTTCTTCCCGATAAGTCATTTTCAATGGCTCCATACACATATTCACAGGTACAAACAAAACGCATAAATCTAACATCAACTAATAGGTCAACGATAGATCACTGAAAATGGAATATTATGGTAGGTGATAGTAAATCGCTTCGAGAAGTTCAGAGTGATTGTGCAATCGTAGGATGTGTAAGGAAACATACTGAGTCAGTTATGGTGAATAATTTTAGGTGCAAAACAAGCAATGAGGGATCGAACTAAGCTACTTAGCGACTCTAACTGTAAATTGGAACGGACACTTATTGAAGTAGAATGATAAACCACAAAGTAAAACAATTATCACTGGTCTAGGATCAACTGTTTCTAGTAATCGGAAGAATATTGTATACTGTTGAACTACGAATTGCCTTTTACTGCCGACAGTTGATCTAGGGAGGCATGAAGCAACAATTTCCACTGTACCAAATCCACATTTGTTTATCAGTTTACCTGGTCTATTGGAGCTGGTTATTTAGGCCATACGAAGTGCAACCTTCCAAGGTGCATCACTAATCATTATCCTACTTGACTCTTCCGAGAAAAATATGGGGTTCAATTCTTGAATATGTCGCTTCCACCTTACCCTTCAGTATCCTTTCAAAAACACAGACAAAGTCAAACTGAATGGCTCAAAGAGAACCGGAATCGTCATCAATGTATAACAGTGCCACTGGTTATTCATTTATGAAGACTTGAACTTTAGATACAAGTGAAATTTATCAAATCTCTGACTTCTCCTTGCAATTAAATAATCTTCATTGGGGTTCCCCACATTGCCTCAGCAATAATTTCACCCTTATTGTGGAAATTGTTCTCATTTTGTGGTTATCTTTCTATTTCCACAAGGATTCGTTCCAACTTCTCACTAAAATCTTTCAACAGTAAGACTGCCCTTATATTCAATTGAACTTCATACCCTTAAATCAAAACTTTTCTTCAGTAAGCTGACTGTGATAAAGAATTTAAATTTCAATCAATAGTAAATCACCTACTTGCTCAATTCATCCCCGTTTGGCTGTTGGACACCTTTAACTGGAGCAATTTTCAAGTTTATGTTGTTGGTATGGTTGTTATTGTTATTGTTATACTGAAGATTTGGAGCAGTTCTGTTAACTGTCGGTTGAAATATTCCAGTTTGTTGCAAATCCTGTTTGATTCTCTGCAAATTTACACTGGAATGCGGTCGTCGAGGGTTGACATGGTTCAGCCTTTTCGTTTGTAGTGTTACAGATGTAACCGATTTGTTTGCTAGATTTGAAGATTTGGAAGGTGAGAGTGATGTGACTAGATTGGTGTCAGTGAACTTCACTTGTCTTCTCTCACGAAGCCCCTGAAGTTCTGATGTTAACCGTGGATTCTTTTCACCCTGACAACTTGGCGGTGCACCAGTGTCAAACATTTTCACTCTATCTTCAACTGGCACCAAATCCTGACAGTCTACTAAATCCTGATCAATAAAACCGGATGTAGAGTAACGTGCATTGTTCTGACCACTTGATTGTGCTAATTGCCATTGTCGTGCACGTTCAGCCACGCTCATTATAGAAGGGTCAGTCTCTTGCGGCTGTACCTTTTCTTCAGAAAAATTAGATGACCGGGGATGGTCCGGTTTGCTCGAAGCAATGGTGTAACCCCTCGTTAACTGATGAGTTGACCGACGATTCATTGGCTTGCTGTCGAAACTAGCTAGACACTCAGTTTTCAGCAAGGATGGACTTGAAGTTGATTGGGGTTGTGTTCCCCCAGTTGGCCTATATGCACTTAGGGGTCGACGGTTCCTACGTTTCATTTGTTCATAATAAGCGCTTATTGATGAAACATCCTGCCGTTGACCAGGTGTGTCACTATCACCTCCCTTCAATGAACCAGAGTCTTCACATAGATCACCTTCTTGAACATTTTGAGGTTCAACTGTTGACGCCTTTTGAGAACGGAGGATGAAGCTAGATGCATTAAGTTTTCGCGGTTCCCTGCCAACAGGTTGTCCACCACGTTGACAGTCGTCTGTGTGACCACTAGATTCATACGGTTCTGACTTCTCTAGAAACCGTAATGTCCTAGGAGGGTTACGTAGCTTAGGTAGTGATGCTTGCGAAACGGTGTTCGAAGGCTTAAGTATAGTTGATCTATCACTAGAATGGTTAAATAATTCAGAGTCAGTGGCGGGTGTCGTTGTTGATTTTATGTAAGATGGTTGTGAAGATAGGGTGTTCGATTCATTCAGGGAACTAGGTGTATTCGTATATTTATTGTCTTCACTTACTTGTTTGTTTTGAAAACTTATTTCTGTTGACTCAGAAACTGAAATGGCTGGAGGTTCTGCAGTCCGATAACAAGAAGTAGCTTCAGGCAGAGAGAGTGGTGGTATGTTGGGAATACATGATGTTTGTGTTGGTAGATTTAGGCTGGAGGTCACATTTATGCTTTGGTTACTGGCAGAAGTCATATTAGCGGGTGGAAATAAAGCTTGTGTATTGAATGTACCGGACAGGATGGCTCTCAGAGTTTCCGGATCAACTGCAACTATGGCTACTTGAGGTTGAAGGACAGTGGTACCAGACAATAACTGAGGATTATGAACTGGTTGAGTTTGCAGGTAACCCATAGAGATCGGGTTTTGTGAATTTGATAACGAATTCATGCCAGGTGCTATAGTATAGTTTTGTGGAATAACATACATTGGATTAAGTGGACTTCCGAAACTCGTATCTGGGGCAGAAATAGTGGATATACCTCCAGAAACATTATTTTGAGGGTTGTACTGTGAAGAAGTGTTATAGTTTATCTGATTATTCGAAGCTGACAATTGAAATTGAGATGAAGCCACTAGGGACTGTGGTAAAATCCATCCACCAGTATAAGATGTTTGAACTAATTGTGTCGACTGATTCGTTGATTGTTGAGATGGTAGTAACTGTTGGCATTGTAAATAATTTACTTGACTTTCCATTTTTTGTGAATGGTGAAAAGGCGGTTGAATTTGAGCATTTTCAGCTGACTTTTCATAGGCACTAGGCTTATCAGGACCTAAAATTTGATCAATAAATCTCGACAGTAAACTATAAAAGAGAACAAAATCGATCTTTAAATGAATAAGACTTGCCTGATCATGAAAATTCCTCTTTCTTCTACTGTTACTGATTCAGCTCAGTTTTTGTAGGTTCTTGCTTGATCGAATTCACTAATGAGAGTTTTTACTGAAAGTCCTAATAAAATATGGTGATTATAATCTAGACAGTCGTCAGGAATTTTCTAGGTACATCAGATTGGAAAAGATTGTAACGAAAGTTACATTTACGATTAGTTGTATGAACAGACAGTTTTGACTGCAACTGCAAAGTTAAGGTATGTGACTATACACCCCATAGAGGATTACTAAATTCGATGCAAAGCACACAGTGATACAGTAATATTTTATTTACTAGATAGAGTGATGAATATTTCCTGAAATATCCATCAGGCCTGGAGCCTGACAAGTAAGTCATAAAATCTCAATGAACATAAGCATACGAAATAGAAACCACTAACTAATAACTAACCTTCACATACATCAAAGAAATTTTAAAGTTCCGTCAGACGAAGGTAACCTCGCCTGGTTAACTAGTTCACTAGTTACTAGCCAGTCCTAAGCCCGGGTAAAGAGGGAAGGTTGGCCACTGGGCTAGCAACCCTATCCCTTAAAACCAATCCAAACGCTACAGAAACTTCAAAGCACAAACAAAATTTAAAAAATAAAAACAAAATTATTCCTCGCTGGAATCGGGGAGACAAAATGACGCCAGTTGGTGAAAGCCCTCGGGAAGCCAATTGACCGGGCCGATGTGTCTTCTCTCCCCTGATGAAAGCGAAAGTAAACGTGGGGACATGGAATATCCTCACCACGTTTGAACCTAGCAAGGCAGCCCAGATTGCAAACGAGATGAGAAGGTATCACATTGAAGTGCTTGGAATTTGCGAAAGCAGATGGAATGGGAGTGGAGTCTCCAAACTGTCAACTGGAGAATCAATAATCTACTCTGATACTGTCACCCAGACGACAACCACGAGCAAAGCACACTGAGTTATGGAGTGGCTATCATGATGTCCCCAACAGCATCGACGGCTCTCATGCAGTGGGAACCAGTCTCCTCCAGGATCATGGCAGCAAGATTCAACTCAAAAGGGAGGAAGGTCACAATCATACAATGCTACACCATGCACCTAGAAATAATGCAAAGCAAGAGAAAAAGGGGGAATTCTACAGACAAAACAAACAAACAAAAGAAACGATGGGCTGACCACTTCAGAAAGCTGTTGAATCTACCACCACCTGCACTTCGTCCAGAAATACCATCTGCACCCACAGAATTACCGGTGAACACAAGCCCCACAAACAGAATCGAAGTCCAGAGTGCCATAAAGCTACTGAAATGCTGAAAAGCAGCAGGACCAGATGGAATCCCAATGGAAGCACTTAAAACGAACGCACAGACAACAGCCGATATGCTCACACCACTATTGCAGAAGGTCTGTAAGGAAGGAAAGGTACCTGTTACTGATTGGAAGAAGGGCTATCTTGTCAAACTCTCGAAGGAGGGCGATCTAAGTGTTCGCAAGAACTGGCGAGGAATCACTCTCCTGTCCACCTCAAGCGAAATATTAAGCCTCATCATCTTGGAGAGACTAAAAGATTCGCTGGATTTAAAACTACGACCGAACAGGCTGGATTCAGATTCAGATTCATGTGAGGACCAAATTGCAACGCTTCGCATCATCATAGAACAGAGTATAGAATGGCAGTCAACTCAACCTCTATTTCATCGACTTTGAAAAAGCCTTCGACAGTGTCAACCGACAAGTAATTTGGCAGGCAGCTGCTTCAAAACTACGGAATACCACAAACCTGTATCAATCTCATTCAACAACTATATGAATATGCCACATGCCAAATAATTCACAATGGGATGTTCAGTGATGCCTTTGAAGTGAAGACAGGAGTAAGACAAGGCTACCACCTACTATCACCCATGATATTCCTGATTGTAATGGACGGGACTGGATCATGCAACAAACAGTGAGGAGGGAGAAGAGGGTGATACTCTGGCTGGACTGCGAGAAAGAACCTAGAAGATCTGGATTTCGCCGATGACTTGTGCCTGATGTCACATAAACTTGAAGATCTACAGGCAAAAACTAACAAGTTGACAGAAGAGGCGAGACAGCGAAGACGGGACTTCAAGTGAATATAGAGAAGACAGAGGTGGAGGTGATGAAGATACCCAACTAACAACACCACCAACAACAATAAACTCCAATCACCATCAATGGGAGAAACTTAAGGGAAGTAACCTCTTTCATCTATCTAGGCAACACTGTTACAACTACAGGTGGCACAGACGAGAACCTCAACGCCAGCCAGGATCGTAAAAGCAAGACAGGTGTTCATTAGCCTGAAACCAGTGTGGAGGTCTTCTGCACTCAGCATGTGGAACAAGATCCGGATTTTCAACACCAATTCAGTCAAGTCAGTGCTTCTGTGTGGCTCAGAGACTTGACAGCGCGTTACGAAAGGGATTTCCAACAAACTACAGACATTCATCAACAACCGCCTACTCTGGCTCGTTACTGAAGATCAGATGGATTGCCAGAATAATAAGAATGAGCAACGAGGAACTCTGGCCGGGCAACGAACCAACCAAGAAGCTATCGCCCAACAAATATGCAAAAGGAGGTGGAGATGGATTGGGCATACACTGAGAAGGCCGACTGAGGACATCACGCGCCATACCAGGCTCTCAAGTGGAAATCCGATGAGAAACAACGAGTTGGGTGTCTGAGGCGAGGGTGAAATGGAGGAGATCTTGTGAGGAAGAAATGAGAGCTTCTTGACTGTAGTGGAATCAGGTTCAGAAGTTTGCAGAGAACAGAGTGCACTGAAGATGTACTACTGAAGCCCTATGTTCCACTAGGTACCCAAGGGATAAATAATAATAAATAAATAAATAAATAATCAGACGAAGGTATTGATAGTAATTTCAAAATGATTGAAAGAGAATTTTTATTCTCTGTAGCGTTGCTCTATGGAGAAGAGATGACGGAAAATCTGGATAAAATTCTTGACAATGCTGGAGTTAGGATGACCATGAAACCTACAAACTTACTCAGAAAGAAACTTTGTAATCCAAGTGATCCAGTACACCTAAATAAGCAAAATAACGAATTATATGGTTGTGAGGCTATGTGCACAGGTCAAAGTAACAAGTTGGGGTCATTCAGGATATCGGATTGACAGATCTAATAGTGATAAGTAATATAGGGAGGACCTCAGGTGTCGCGATCCCTCATTGGCTCATCACCATACCAAAAAGTGACACTGAAAATCTAATATAGTTAGGCACGAAGAGATAGTGATTACAGAACCTTTATTCATCTGATCAAGACCTATCACATGTAACAAGAATGACTCATCACATATCATAGACATTCCAAGGATTCTACACCCTCCAAAAAGGAAGTAATGAAGAACTATCAGACTACGAAAAGAAGTTTGAATTTTGTGTTATAACTTTCATATGATAATGACCAATAAATTGCACTTAAAATGTCTTCTAGCAGATAATACTGTATCACCGTGTGTTTATGTGCGTTTGAGCATCAAATATACTGGTACAGTATGAAATTGTTCTTCTCAACAATCTCTTAAGTTTAAACTGACATTAGCATGACTGAAAATACTAATTCCCTCACGATAAATACCTAGCTATTTTCGTGTCAGCACTTGCTCTCACAATCTATCTACTGAAAACAAATTAAGTAGTATAAATTAATGAGCATTATTTTAACGGCAACTGATTCTACGCAGCTTACCTCCTTTCGCACTAACTGGCAACATTGAATTCGAAGATGATATCTGTTTATCTGTATTTCCGCTCAGTAAAGAGCCTCTTTGGAGTGGGAAATGGCCGATCTGATTGTCTGTACTTACATGGTGTGCTTGGTTGGCGTGTGAAGAATTAGACTGCGACAACTGTAGCAGTCTGCTTCGTTCTGGATTCATATTTTGCTCCGATAAGCATACATCATTGTTCGACTTTGGTAAATACATTGATCCTGGCCTGGATCTAGATAGCTTTGTAAATGGTAACAAAGAAGTTGGAATTTGAGTACTTTTTTGTTGCCACTCAGGTATCTTCTGATGACTGAAACTATTGCCTGACTGCATTTCATTTGTGTATCTCTAAGCTGAGGTCTTGAGGAGTAGGTAAAGTCTGTTGTTTGGTCAACAGATGGACCCATCTTCGTAACTGTTGAACCTGAAGGTTTTGACTGACCTACTGACGTTATAATCGCCTTTTCTGATTGTTTGCATTCGGAGATTGTACGAGGAGCTGACTGCTGCCGTATCTCGGCATATTTTGCCTTGTTTGCAGGTCGAAAATCACATCCAAAAGACGGAACAGAAAAGTTGTGCTCATGTGGATGGGTAATTTGTCGAAATCTACAATTAAGAATAGGTGAAAATCAACAGTCAAGTAAAGAAGTACAAAAATCTTGAAGAGATATGACTTTGCCATTTACAACAATAAGATAAATTTCTTAGCACATTTAGTTGAGCTGAGGGTCAATGGGATGAGAAAATAAACCTTGATTGCCAAAAGGTTATACCTTTAGGTTCAGTGGATAGTTTCACTCGCTGTTTAGGTTAACAAATAGTTTATAACTGGAATCAACGATACTGAACTAGTCATGATTGCGACTTGTCAGACAAAGACATCAACGCCCATATCAATGTTACCAAAGTGGCCAGGTGAAGAATTCATCGCTTCAAATTTCGAGACAATATTTCTTAGTCTGTCAGTCAACTAGCCGTTGTTGGGGTTTGAACTGTTTCATGTCAGCGTGAAAATTCACCAAATGAGGACCTCAACATCATTTTTGGTTTCACTGTCATTTTGTTTCGACAAGTGTAAAATGAAGCTGTCCAATATGTTATTCGGTGTCATTCAATACAAATCTGCAACTTAAAGCCCGATGAAACGTAAGGTGTCCTGATTTCCTTTTATTTCCAGCCGAAAACACTATAAAGTAGCCCAGCAGATTTTATTTCTGTTTTTAGTTTGAGGAACAGTTCTTTCACCGTTTCAAACCTAAGAATGAAAGTTTATGGCCTTCTTAGATCAAAATTAGGGGCGATGAAGCTATTTTCTGGCATTTAGTTTGACCTTAGAACTGAAAGCGACCGCTACTCCCAAGATGATAGTTCAGGATAAGGAGGCAAAACTCCACTGGATAGTTGAAATAACCAAACACTCTAATGAATTGTAACCAGAAGTCAATAATAAAGAGTACCTATTGACAACTAACTGAAGTTAATAATTATAGATAACTGTACTTTGAACGTAGATTAGATCACTTCATTTAACGCTGAATACTCACTCCTTATATGTCGGTTAGTTGACGGTTATCCTATTTTGATAAGTTAACACCAGATAGAAGTTTGGAATTATGTTTGGCATCATGCCACCTTCCGTGAAAACTCAAGTCAATGGTAAGTAAACGTTTTGATGGCGTACACTTCTAGTACTAACTGTGTGAAGTTCGGAAGTACTGGATTATAACTCAGTGACTGACCAAAAGCCAATTCATATTCTTTGACACAATAAAGCGAGTCTTCCTGTATGCATCACTTTCTACCCCACAACTATACATAGTCGAAATCTTCCCAAAAATATAACACTGACGACTTCCTTCGAGATGAGATTCTCATGGAAGGTCATGACCGATGGGATCAGCCAATTTGCATTTGAAGACAGTTACGGAGCGAAGGTATTGGATAAAAGTTGGGGTATATCGTGAACTGACAGAAAAAGAGGGTATGGATTATTGGACTCGAACCCACTGGCTCAATGGCGAGGTATTAACCGTGGAACCTGAAGGTTCTTGATATGACCTCTGGGGGTTAATGCCTGCGCACTGCTAGGGAGTTCCATGGCAAGATGAAACGGATGTTTCGTGCTACTAAGTCTCCAGTGGTTTTCCAGCTGATATCATTTCGTGATGAATATCAACCTGAAATACAAGTTATTCATAAAATTAACGTTATAATAGCAGATACTTGTTCATATGATATTGCAGAGTTTTTCTACAGAATGCCAAGCACCATTTATTTCTCTCCAAATAATGAATTTCTTACAAACATTCATTGTTTACTGTTTCTACTTTGTTTTAATGACGCAGTAAAAGCAATCGTAGTTCTTTTTTTAATTTATTCTAGACTTTCTTCTTTTCCTATCCCTCATTGTCATGCATACACATATACAGTATCAGCTTTCTTTGGAAAAATTTACCTTCACTATCCAATTTGAAGGCATTGGCAATTTATAGAATGTATTCATTGTTTCAGGAATATTTAATGCGAAAAAATTCTTTTGCGAGATGAAAGAAATAAAGTGGCTATGCGGAACAACAAATTTGTTGGTTATCTGCATAAATGTAAATCGTATGTAATCAAGTTCTGGAACTAGTGTTTTTTACAGCATTTCACCTTCTTTCATTCCATGATATCTTGTGACTTTAGAAAATATTTAGGTCATATGATTCATCTAAGTTTAACCATTTTTGCATTTTGTACACGTATAACATCACATTTAGATACATCGACAGTAGACATTCATGGTAAAGGATAAAAATCTGAAGTATTATCAGTAAAAACAAACTTTGGTTCACTTTTCTCCTTTAGAATTAAACCATACTTTATTTACCTTTCTTTGAACGTGTATGGGTATATGAGATAGAAGACAGTTAGATCATACCAAAGTGTTTCAATATAGACGAATGAACTAGGATGTGAGTTACAAGTTTTATTGAGTGTGTCTATATCTTAAAACCACCAGGTAATATCCATAAATTTATGGTATATCTCTTGACCAAACTATTAAAGACAACTTGCTTCATAATCTTCTATACAGTATTAGAAGTACTGTGATAATCACGTTTCCACAAAGAAAAATTTATTCTTTGGTTAGAATTTTCACAATCAGACAGATTATTTTAGCTTTTCTGTCTGTATTATGGGGACAGAAATTCCTTGGTACAAGGTTGTAGAGTCTGAGACTTGTCTTATTACCTCCAACATGGATTTTAACGAAAAACAATGCCTGATAACAACGTAAAATACATTTGAGTATGCTGAAAGTCACCCGCATGCAGTATACATTGGAAAATCCCCTTTCTAAGATCATTGGTTCTGATTGCAAAGGAAGATATAAACAAAAATGTTTATGAGCAAAATGAATAAGAATCAACAAGCTGCGTATACTCATCCTTTGTTTCTACTAGCCAGGCAAAAGTATCTTTAAGAATGAACATCTATTCAAAGCGAGGTCATAAGGTTCTAATGTCGGAATCCAAATTTCCACACAGAAATAATTCTTTTCACTAACATAGGTCTTTCGTCGCAGTATAATTCATGTTAAACAGATAATGCAGAGAAATTACAGCTAATAAACAATCCGAAACCAGCGTGGAGATCTACTGCACTTCACACAGAATAAAGCATGAACAAGATCCGGATTTTCAGCGCCAACGTCAATTCAGTGCTTCTATGTGATGGTTCAGAAACTTGGAGCGTCATGAAAAGCACTTCCAACAAACTACAGATACATCTACAGCTGCAGCCTACGCTCACTCGATACTGACACATGACCAGAATAATAAGAATAAGTAACAGAGAAGTCACTCTGGCCTGCCAACGAACGAACCAACCAAGAACCCATCGCCTAGCAGATATGCAGAGGAATAAATTGGAGATAGATTGGGCATATACTGAGAAGACTGTCTGGGGACATCATGCGTCAGGCTATCCCAGACTAGGCCATCGAGTGGAATCCAAATGGGAACCGACGAGTTGGGCATCTGAGGTGAGGGTAACATGGAGGAGATCGTATGAGGAAGAAATGAAAGGTGATAGGCATTGGCGGAGCCAGGATGAAAAGGCTGCAGAGAAGAGACTGAAGTGGCGACGTGCTACTGAATCTCTATGTTCCACTAGGAACACAGAGGAGAAATAATAATAATAATCGTGGTCAACGGCAATTCTCCTGATAGAAATTCTTCACATACAAAGAAAAACTGATAACTAACATGAATTGTTCGGATAAACGTTGCCGTTCTGTGTCTGTATGTCTCTATCAGACTTGCCAGTCAACTGCACGACTTTCATGGCTTTGATGACTGAAATTACTAAGTACATGAGTACATGCCTAATCATCCCAACGTATAACGCTCAAGCTTTCGAAATAATCGGCGCTGGGTTCAAGTATCAATGTAGACGCTACCACTTAATGCATTGCAGATACATTCCGCCAAACAGTCCTAAATAAGACATCCGGATTTTGATAGGTGGCCACTAATGACTAGATTACGTCATCAAAAATCTTCAGGCGATATCAAAGCATCCACATGGTAGCCCATAGGCAGCAGAGATTGATAAGTTCAGTTAACGATAACAAACCATGTGGTACTACAAGTATCAATAAATATAACTTTATTGATTTACCAATCTTACACAACTAGCCAACGACCCATAACTCATTCTCATCATACCTCTGTCCTCTTATTTTCTAAAGATTATGACCACAGATGAAATCTCATGTAGGTTGCCCTGCTTCCCCTTAGGCACATGTTTCAGGAAAAAAAACTTTTCACTGATCTGTAACTGAAAGTTCTCTTGATTACTGGATGCAGATAAGAGATGGTTCATCAACATACATAGCCTAACCAGTAAGCTTATTCCACATTTATCTTTTGCATCCTACAAAAAAGCAATCAGTACTTGAGATGTTCAGTGGTAATCCTTGAGCCTATTATACCGCAATGTAACGTGTTGTATTTCACTCAGTAACCACGTGAAAGTTATTTCAGTAGGAAATGAACTAAGCTTGTTGTCTGAGGACTAATGATACTCCCTGGCTTCCGAAATCTCAGTAGGCAAAGTAAAATTCTTACCAGTACCCAACTTATTGCAAGTAGAATGCTTAGAACAACAAGGTATTGCCAAAAGGGGGTTAAAATATCACAGATTTCAGTTTTCCTTGACTAACCATAGTCAGTATGCAGAGACACTGCAACTATATTTCAAATCTCTAATGATATTCATTTGTGTAGTAAACTTTATTCTACATGATTCCTATTCAACAGCTAGTTGAACATTGATTATGCTAACAAAGTATATTGTTTGAACGGTTAACGAGGATGTATGCATGACAATGAATGTTCCAATGTTTGGTAAACAATCTGATTACCAGCATAAACCTAATGCGGTAAACTAAATATTGAGGAAATTATAAAGCACATCAGTCTGATCGATGGATGCTTGGGAAAATGCTTCCAAACTTATCTATAAAGCGTTACTTCACAAGTGTCCTAAATCGTTTACAATTCTCATATACTTCCTGCTTTTCAGCTTGTATTCAGTATGATAGCACACACGTAACTAGC